GTGTGTGTTCACTGCTGTGTGTGTGCACTTTGGATGGGTTAAATGCAGAGCACTAATTCCGAGTATGGGTCACCATACTTGGCCACATGTCATGTCACTTACTCACTTACATTTAGTTTTATGATCAGAAATATGGCAACACTTTACAATAATGCCCCATTAGTTAACACATTAACTAACATTAACAATGAGCAATACATTTGCTATTGTATTCATTCATCTTTAAAAAAAATAAAAGCCATTAATGACACATGATCCTTCAGACATCATTAAAAAAAAAAATCATAAATAAATAGGCCTAATACTTTTATTCAGCAAGGACACAATTAAATTGTTCAAGTGTCAGTAAAGACATTTGCAATGTTAGAAAAGATGTATATTTTAAATAAAAGCAATGTAAACTTTCTATTATTAAAATAACCCTTAAAAAATGTATCACTGTTGTTTGATCACATTGATCAATACATTATTAATACTTCAGCATAAGTCATAATAATTCAAATCAAATCAGCATATTAGAAGGATTTCTGTATAGGATCAAATTCAGCTTTTCCATTACAGAAATAATTTAGAAAACAAACAATATTTCACAATATTGCTGTTTTACTGTATTTTTGACCAGCCTTGGTGAGCATAAGAGACTTCTTTAAAAGAAAGAAAGAAAAAAAAAAATCCAAAGTTTTGACCGGTAGCGTTGTTTTTCCTGTGCAAACTGACGATAGACATTACAGACAATAATAATGTCTGCAAAGTAATAACTTCTTTATACAAAGATAATTATAAATCCTATAATCTAAACCACATCCTAACTGAAAATGTCCTGCAATTTTACATTTATTTTTACTTTATTTTTAGGTGTTTTTACAAATGAAGACATCCACAAAAGGTGGTTTTATCACATTTGGCTCACTTCTGGGTACAAATGTGTTTCCAATATATGGTTAAGTAGGCACACGCACACACACACACAGGTTTGTTTTTATGGTTTATGGGGACTCTCCATAGGCGTAATGGTTTTTATACTGTACAAACCGTATTTTCTATTGCCCTAAACCAACCCTAGCCCTCACAGGAAACATTACAGCATTTTTAGATTTTCAAAAAAA